AACCGAAGTTACTCACCAACAAACTGCCGTAGCAGTGGTAGGCCCAAACTCCCCAACCTCCCCAGGAGGGCAAGGAGCCATGAAGGGCCACGTCCACCCATCTGAAAGTTGACAAGGTTGAGAAACACTGCATTAGACCTTTCCACCACAGCCATGGAGTGTTCCATAGTCTTTTCTCTTAAACTCCTCACCTCTCCATTTTGAAGATCTCATCTTCATAGTCCAGACGAGCACACTCTCATACACAACTAGTCACTTCCTTCACCGTGCCGCCCCTGCAACCGACTGCATAGTACCCATTACCTTTCTACAAGCATCTGTGCTAGAATTTCTCCATTGCGATCCCTTCTTGAGTAAACATTCTACCAAGGCACACCATTGCATCTCTTTGCTCTGTTTTTTCACCCTTCTCATGTAGCTGGCACCCCCTCCTCCATTTTCCCTGTCCAACCCAATTCTATAGGTCAATCTTCAGACTCATCCTCCTCGTTGCGTCAGTGGCTGTAACATTTGCTGGAAATGATTCAGGTGCCAGCCCAAGACTGCAGCTTCCCATGCATACAAAGGCATACATACATACATACATACATACATACATACATGAAAGGCAGGATATAAGTCTTGTAAGACAAGATTTCATCCACAGAACGCTCTTTGCGAGAGTGGAACTCAAGGGGTGTTTGTAGCAACCTGATGCTCACCAGTGGGCCAGACGCTTTGTTCAAAATGTGACAAGACCCCCACCCCAAATCCTGTCTGATCAGTTGCGTGTGTGCACCTACATGGAGGACCATCACCGCCCCATGTGTTTCCTCTGAGGATTACTTCTGTAGGTGTACCTAAAATATAGCTTCAATCCATGCAAAAGTGAGGGGGGGGCAGATGCATGGGTGGGGACAGGAAAATGCAGGACACAGTAGAAATGGGATATCTGAAGACACTCTCATAACATGGTCCAATTGACTAGGAAGACCAGTAGATGCCGGTGGACCTGTTACCTATAGGAATTCACAGCAATTCTAGGAATAACTGCTGAGAGTCGCTGCTATGAGATGGGCAGTTCTATAAATCGTTTAAATGAATAAATTAACAGCTTTTCCTCCATCATCCTAGGTCACCAAGCTTATCCACTTGTACGAGGCCAAGCCACACAGAGACCACTTTTTCCATCTAAGTTTTTAACCAAATAAAGTCCCCTGAATTACACATAGCATCAAGGTTTTTTTGTTTTTTTTTCTGTTTAACATGAAGTCCTAAAGACCTTTATCAGCCCCAAACCCATTAGGGCTTATTCAAGGAACCATGTTTAAGGCAAGCACACAATGTGTTAAGGAAGCGGGCAACCACTTTTCCAACTCCCTTGAACTTAATCATTAATTCTAGATAAGATTCTCTGAGAATCGTTTTGATTGCAGCAGGATAGAAATGTAATTTAATAAATCAATCAATTTTATTACACTACAAATTCAGCAGAAATAGTCTTGAAGTGTGAGAGAACTGACCATCCTTGGATCAAACTGCCTCAATGCTCTCAAGATCCACCTGCCCCTTTTCCCTTCAAATCCCCCCAAAACACGCCGGACGAGGGCAAAGACAAAGTGCCTTTATTTGGGTACAGAATCGGATTCACAGAAATTGCACCACAAATCAGACAGATTTCCTGCACATGCACACACACCCCTCGAAAGCAGAGAAAGAAAGAAAACAAACTCATGGTTTTATACAAAAATAGTGTTTTTATCAACCAAGAAAACATAGCAAAACACAGTTTAGCCTCCCCACCCTTTGTACCCTGTTGTCCGTTGCTGATCTATGCCAGGAGAAATAGATCTGGAAAGCATGGGTGGGAACCAAGAGGATGCAAATGAAATTTCCTGGTGTCACAACCCTGTGCAAAATATCTCTGTCTGAGCTTTTATCCCTTTTAACTAGAGGGGAAAGAGATACTTTCAACCAATGCAGAATTAAGATCAGAGGCCGCTATTTTTCCATGTTAAGCCAAAAATGCCATTATGGGTAATCATCTCCCTTCCTTTATAGTTCAGTGAGAGAGTAAGAAAAAGGCAGTGATAGCTTATCAGAGGCAAGGTTTAAAGTCCACCCTTTAGCAAAAATTTCCAAGGCACTTGTGTCCAAAGACACTTTCTCCCAGAGGAGTGAAAATTAAAGCTAAAGTGCTCCAAACCACGATGAGTTGGCTTTCAAAAAGAGCGCACGAGCTGCAAACGAAGTCTATTTCCATCCTGGAGACCTTTTCCACCATGACCATATGCCAATTTAAGTTAGATGCTCCCTCCCAAGAAGAGAAGCAGGGAGAAGGCCAGTGGCTGTACATTAATGCTCTTTGCGGAAGGGTATGCCCGCAACCCTCAACAGGAACAGCAAGATTCGATCACGCATTTTCAACGGGTAGAAAAAGGCCATGAAAAATCAAAAACGAAGCCAGCCAGCCACTATATTCTTGTTCGCAGTCCAGAGCAACACAGGGCAGGCTCTTCATCCTCCTCCTCCTCCTCCTCCTCACGATTGACACCAACTCAGCTTTCAGGAAAGAACCATTGCTCCCCAACACAGAGGAAACAGACCAACTGCCTGGAGTTGCCCAAGGATCCTGGGATCCATAGGAAAATTTAGTGGCGAGAAAGGCCTTTCAAACAAGCAAGAGATCCTTCAGGGCAAGGTCTCTCCCAGGACGGCTGGCAGATTTTACACTTGGAGTGTTTTCTGGGCATCGAACGCGGGCAAATCATTTCTGGAGATTCACAACACGTAACGGGCCACACAGCATTTTGGTCCAACGACAGAAAGTGATACGACATCCGAATCCACTGAGTTTTTTTTCACACACCTACACAACAGTCCCGGTTAGTGGGAAGAAGAGATGGGTCACTTAAAGGTCATGCAGACCTTCTAAAGGACCTGCTGGTGCTGAACTTCTAACCTTTACGGAGAAGTTCTCCATAAAAGCTTCTTTATTGGTAAGCTAATCAACAGAAGTTTACCAAACTGCTTTAAAAGGAAAAAATATGATTGTCCTTTAAATTCTTGCCGAGAAAAAGCCATGTAAAAGTATTTGCTCCCAATTGTCCAAGAAGAAAGGAACTTTTCTCCTGTGTGGATGAGGTCCCGTTCTTCACTCCAGATGAAAGGTCTCCTTGCACCTTACATGCATTATTGGCTCCCAACATCCTTCTCAAATGAGAAATTCCAAATTCTTCTCCACTGAGAAATTCCACGCAGAGTTGAAAGATACCACCGAGAGCAAAAACAGCTGTCATCCAAAGCTGTTTCTGCAACCCACGCATCTCTCCCTCCAGACCCAAATGTGCCCCAGAAAGCTCGCTTTGGAACAGCAGCCTGCCCAAAGCAGGTGAAAGGAAGGGAAAAAGAGAGAGTGCTAACCCCTGACTGGAGGCAGAGATTCTCTTCGGCAATTTGGTCCTCACCTCTGAACGCGTCTTAAGAAAAAAGGGGATTTGTGTATAGAGCTGAAAGAGTCCCTGTCCCCACAGGGACCGGAGCCAGCAAAGTTAGGAAGAGCGTTTGCAACAGGAAGTGTGGTAAGCATGGCGTGGGCCAACATAGATGCACCAGAGAGAAGAACAACAAAACAGGACAGCTGATCCGCTATGCAAAGGCCATCTCTTCCGCAGACCCCGGGGGAGCTACCAAAGAGCTCAAGAGAAGCCTCGCTCCCCCGCCAGATCTCAAGCCCGGAATTAGTGGCAAAGTCACACAAGGGGTGTGTCAACATCACTGTCTGCAGGTCACCTCTTTTATTATTATTATTATTAATATTATTATTACTAATTTTAGCGCTGCAAACCGGCCCCTTTCTAGAGCTGGCTGCAGATCGGTAAAAAAAACAGTAAACAACAAATGACAATTTTTCAAAAATAAATACATAAAAACTCAAGTCGCCCTGCCCAACGTCCCAGGCCCTCTGGGTCCAAACCCTCCGGAACACAGGGAGGATTAGCGCGGCTGGTCCGGTTGAAAGAGAGGAGGATGTTTGCGAGGGGCTTCTGGCACCCCTGGAAACCCGCCAGTCCAGAGGTTCTTGTTAGACAAGCCGCTGTTTGTCTCCCCTGTTGCGGGGTGCTCACACGGGGACCCCTCGAGCTGCCTCCGTTCCCGAGTCCCGCTGCTCAGCAGCCTGTCTCATTCCCAAGCAATCCCGAAGGAGTCCTGAGGTCCCACTCCGGGGGCTTAGCTCGCCTCTCCCACCGCCGCTTCTGCCCGGGACGGCTGGTCCCTGCTCTCTCCAGCCTCCTCCTCCTCCATGGCCATTTCTAGGGGCAAGGGGGGCAGGGAGACCTGTCCTCCATTGCCCTCCTCCATCGGCTCCAGCATGCCATTCAGGTCCATGTCCTGGATCTCAACATCGTACAGAGGCGTTACCTGAGAGGCGGCATTGGTCACACACTCCACGCAGGCCTGGGGAAAAAGAGAAAGACCAGGGGGGGCGGGGAGGAAGACAGAGGTGGTTCGTTGTCATCTCCAGGTTTGGCAGCCGATGTTCTACGCGGGGAAGCATCTTCTCCTCTGTTTCTGAATCCCTCGGATCGCTAGGCTGGCCTCCCTCAATTTCCATCACCTCCGGATAAGTAACTGGAATTGTATCTCCGCCGTTCGAGAAGGGACAGGGAGAACACTCTGAAGGAGGCTGTCTGTGGATTTTGGGTCGCTCACAAAACTCCCCCCCAACTTTCAGAGATCCTGTTTACGTCACTAGAGACCCAACGACAGGCTGCTGTAGAAACATGGCCCCCTCGCCCAAGGGAAATGAATCTACAGAGGGCGAACAGCGAAGGAAAATGACCACGGGCCGCGTGCGCTAAAAGACACACCAGGGTGATTCTCCAGGGCCAGCTCTGTGCTCCCGACTTCCCTCCCTCACCCAGGCGGTGCCTCCTCACCGTGACGTTAATGGCTTTGGGCAAGATCCCCTTCTGAACCCAGGAGTGCACCTCGGCCAGCTCCTTCTTCTGCTCCTCCGTGAATCGGGGCTGTTGCTTCTGGAGCTGCTTCAGCTTCTCCCGATCCTCCTGCAGGACGGTCTCCATGTCCCTGCAGAGCCAGAGGCGGTGGGCGAGTCGGTCAGAAATGCCAGGAGACTCGGGAGGAGGACCTCCCTGTCCACCAAGCCAGAAGCGAGAGGAGTGGCCCCAAGCCAGCCCCATCCCCAGCCTTCAACCCCTACCCCAAAATAAAAGCAAACGCCATCCCTCTCCCTGGCATTATTCCAGTACGCTCCAAAGGAGGCTCCCGTTCCGGGTCCTCTTCCCCCTTTACAAATCCTAAATCTTGATCCCAGTGGGATCGAGCGACTCCAAGGCTTTCCCCATGGGGGGAAGGGCTCTGGGGAAGCGCCTCACCTGGCTGGGAGCTGGTAGGTCATCATGACCTTGTTGTCGGTGTTAGCCATCAGCAGCCAGATGGGATCTTGGAGGACATATTTGATGAAGTGTTCATTGTCCTCAGCTTCGGAGCGCTTCTTGCCCCGTAGATCGTTCTCAGAGGAGTCGATGCTGCCAAAATATTTGCTGGTGTTGCTACTCTTGCTGCTTGCTGGAGGGAGAGGAAAAAGGCGCTGGTGGGTATAGAAAAGACCCCCCGTACCGTCAACCAGGAAGAGACATCCCAGAGCGCCGCATGAGGGGCTGTTTGTGAAAATCCCCCAAAAGCCACTCCTGGCCCTCAAGGTATGTCCTGGATGTTTGGTGGCCCAGTCCCAGGGAAATCCTGCAGCAAGCTAGGAAGCCATTTTGCCGGCTCCGCTTCTCAGCCCCGTTTCATCTTTTAATGCCCTTCTTGAGCTGAGCTCAAGAGAACCTCTTTCCACCCAGATCTGGAAGATTCTCTGCAGGTGCTCTTGACCTCAGAGATCAAGCAGGGGGAGACTAAGATGGGCCCTGTTGACCGACCGCCCACCCTCAGTACCTAGAACATTTTGAGGCCCAGTAGGGAGGCTCCCAAAAGTCAAGCTGGTGACCGTGAGGGTGCACGTAAAAAACAGGCAGAGATTCAGTCGCACCCTTGCAGACGCCATCTTGACCTTTGGGACCGTGTCCTGTGGACGCCCCTGAAGTGAAGCTATCCTGACCCCAAAACTGCCTGCCCTCTTGCAGGTCAGACCATTTCGAGCTCCAAATATTCTGACCCCTCTATTCTCCTCCACACAGGGAGAATTGCTCCTTCCATTACCCAACGCTAAAAGGGGGGTGGGATGGCAGGGCCTGCTAGAGAAGCTCAGGGCTTCGGGGTCCGAAAGAGAGACAAGCTGATGGTGAAGGGAGCCAAGGGCACTGGGAATCGCCCAGGTCCTCCCACACCGTCCAGTTCCTGGACTTACTGGTACCGCTGGCAGAGGTGCTTCCTCCGTTGGAGCCGGAGCCCATGGAGCCCGAGGCGGCTGACCCCGTGCCCGAGCGCGAGTCTTCCTGCAGAAGGAGGTCCAGGAGGTCGCTGGAACTGGACAAAGCATCATTGTTGGAGGAGTCATGGGCTTCCACCTGGAAGGGGACACATTTAGAGGCCAAAGGTTCAGATTAGGACCAGGATGGCAACACCCTGCCCTCCTCCCCAAGACCACAGTCATCTTGGCCAAATCCTGGAGTCACCCTTGTTCCCACAGCCATTGCTCCCTCTCCCAATGGAGTCTCGATCTCCGAGATCTCCTTGTCCAGCTCAGGTTCCCGACCCCAGCTGAAGCAAATCTAACCCCTTTCCAGTTTGGGGGAAAAGGAATCTGACCGGTAGGCCCTGGTCAGAATTCTCTCTGAATGAAACTAGAACCGACTCATTTGCCAGCTTGTTAGGAGCGGAGGCATCTCAGATGCCGAAGGAAGGACAGGATCCCCCGCAGCTGCCGATCTGCCCCTTTCCTTGGATCGAGCTCTATCTCTGACTCCCGTTCCCGGGGAGGGGCTCTGCTCAGACTGACGACACGCCAGCACTTCAGCCCTGGGGAGCGCACTGACCAGGGGCCGCTTACCATGCAGGTCTCCTTCTGAGGGCCGAGCTCGTTCACCAACCCCTGCCCGCCAGTCACTCCAGCCCAGTCCGCGGAGGTGCCGGCTGGTCCCGCTTGACCGTTCATGCCCGCTTCTTGGCGGTCACAAGGCTTGGGCATCTCTTCCATCTGCAGCAGGTTCAGTTGCAACGGGGAGCTGCAGCGTGACTCGAAGAGCGGGGATTCAGCCCGCTCCGGCTGGCTCATCGAGTGCGGGGTGGAGGACCGAGAGGGGACCTGCAGGCCGGCTTCGGGCCCGGGAGCCAGCGTGCTGCCCGGCTGAGGAGGGCCAAAGGGGAAAACGGGTCCGCCAGGAAAGTAAGGCTGGGGGAGGGAGTTGTTCATCTGGGGGAAGACATAGTTGGGCAGGACCAAGGCCACCATGGGGGTGACGAGAGGGGCGGGGAACTGAGAGGTTGGCAAGGGGTTCTGCGAAGGTTCGGTGGCCGGGGGCGCCGTGGGGCGAGGGGGAAAGACGGGGATTGGGTAAGTGGGCATAACGGCCGGGTAGGACATGTTCGGGAGGCTTGGCTGGGAAGTGGCCGAGGGGGGCCAAGAGGAGGAGCCTTGGGGACAGGGAGGCTGGGGCGGGGAGGCCGAGTTCCGGGGGGAGCTCGTGCTGTCCGACGACTTGTTCTGCTTGATGCGTTTGGCCTTGGACTTCCTGCTCCGCCCCCGGCAACTGGGCCCGCGGGGTCCCTGGCGCAGGCCTCGGTGTCCTGGGGGATCAAAAGGGACGGAGGGTGAGGAGGAGGAGGAGGAGCCACCCTGCTCCCCAGGCCACACGGCCACCACCCCAGGATTACCTCGCTCGTCGTGGGCCCGGGGGTGGCGCAGCTCCTGCCAGCTCAGCCCTGAGGGCGAGCTGAAGACGTGCAGCTGGCTGAGGTCCTTGAAGCGGGTGAGAAAGGCGTGCTCCTCTTTCTGCGTGTGGACGGAAAGCACTTCCTTGGTCAGGCCCACCTTGCGGTACTGCTGCTCCCGGTCCGGGGTCACGCTGGGGGCGGGGGCAGGGGGGGTCGCGCTGGGTGCCGTCTCTTCCATCATGACGATATCTGGGGAGGGGGAAGGGGAGGGAGGAGGAAACACCAAAATGGGACACAAGGGAGGTCAGCCCATCCGTTGCTCTCCAGCCTGGACCATCATCCTCAACGTTTATGCCCTGCCTTCCTCTAAACGCCCCCCGCAAGCATCTTTTACTGCCGCCCCTACTCCGTGGTGGGCTGGTTGGTCCCCCGGCCTATTTATTTAATCCTGCAATATGGCTCTGACCAACTTGATCAGTAGGAGTGAAAGCCTTCAGTGAGTCGGGGGCCGCTGGCAGAGGCTGTTCAGTGATGCCACAGGTCCCTGGAAGGGGGGGAACCATTTTTCCCTTTTGGTTCATTTTAGGGGTCCTGGGGGGGTGAATAAGGTTAGAAGCCTCTGGAAGATGAGCCACTTCCACCCCTTCCCCCACCCCACCATGTTTCAGTGGCATAAACTGGGCGCTTGTACGTGGATCACTTCTGTTTTAAGCAGACAAAACAGAAACTGGGGAGGAGGTCTTCTTCTTTAATGCATAAGACCAGCTGCAGCCATCTCTGAAATTCACAACAGCACAGATCCCGACTACAGCCATTCCCTGAAGCTCCTGGACTGAAAAAGCAGCCTGTTTTTTGGACAAGTCATGCCAAAAAGCAGCACCATCGCAAGGAAAAGGGCCGTTTGGCCCATGTTTCCTGTCCAAGCTGCCTTGGATTTGAATAACTAGCAGCATTACTGGCTTGACCCCACTTCGGGCAGAGGACCAGGTCATCTACGCAGAGTTTCTATTCAGATCCTCCACTGAGGAAGAAAAATCAGGAATCCGGTAGCACCTTTTCCGACCAACCAATTTTATAAAAGTTGCAGCTTACGAAAACTTTTGCCTTTTCATAACGACTCTCAATCCTGAATGGACCTGGGCAATTGCTTTTGTAATTAGGAAGGAGTGAACTTTCCTCCCTGCCTCGTAGGGTCTGGGCGTAAGCCCCAGAGCTAGAGCAATTTGCAAGGGAGGGGCTGAGATCATCTTTATCAGAAAGGAAAGGAGTTACATCATCCAGGAGAACCAGTTAAGTCACCGGAAGCCAAAAGCAGAAACGCCAAACACTCAGATGAGCCAATAATGCAGGTTTAATGCTGGAACAGCTCTTTACAGCTAGATCCAATAGCCTCACCTGTTGTGCAAGGTGCGTGTCTGGGTGGGGGAGGGGAATGGGGATCAAGCTCCAGGATCAGTGCAGAACTGCAGATCCCAACAACTCAAAGGGAGCCAAGAGGTGGGCTAAGAGTGAGGAATGCAGCAAAGGTCCGGCAGGTGGGGTTCAGCATAGGGAGGGCACGGGGGGCATGCAAGTCACCCCATCTGGGATGGGAAGAGGTCCTGGTAGGAGTGAAAATTGGGCTCCCCCACTGCAGCGAAAGGCGACGTGAGAAGGATTTGCCAGAGCAGAAGGCTCAAAGGGCCTTCGGGGGATCCGGAACAGGAAAGGCCACGGTGAAAAGAGCTGCTGACCACGGGGGAAGAGAGGGAGGGGGACCAGCCCATTCCAGATGCTGAGGGCGGGGCTCACGCCTTGTCTGGCTCAGCTCTGGGCCTCTTCCTGAAGGGGAAGAGGATGCAAAGCAGCCTTCTGCAATCAGGACCTGGGAACTGCCTCATCAAGCCCCCCCACCCGGTGGGCCAGAGACTCAGAGGAATTTTCCACGCAGGGAAAGGGGACAATAAGCAATCATGCAAGAGGTCGGGGGCTCTGGCTTGTGCCTAAGGTAGGAGTAAAGATAACACCTCCTTTAAATGGAGCTGGACTCCGGATGACTTCGCGGGCAAATCCATGCGGGTTTCTTGGCAGGAGTGGAGAAGTACCTTCCCGCTTCCTTATGGGGCGGGGGGGGGGGCAACTTCCTGGGGTTTCCTGG